CTTCTTGCTAGCCTTCTATGACACAAGAGAGATCTTGCTTTTTTTTCTAGTATTAATGACAGATTCAAAAAAGAGCAAGACAGAAGTCTCTAATACAATATAATTATGCATAATTTTTACAAGACACATAACTTAGATCTTCTTTCAGAGTTAGTCTAAGATCAGTGAAAGGACTTGAGAACTTTCAGAAGTTTGATATTTTCATTATCTTCAACCATTTGGAAAAGTGATCTGGCGAAAGCACACATCGGCTAGAACACTGTGAACACATAGTGCTTTTGAAAGTCCCATTCCAAATTTGTCTAGGCTTGTATTACATACAAGAATTTTACCAAACCTATAGCACAAATTAGGAAATGCCAGAATTTGTCTGTGTGTTTATAATTTTTCCTTTTGTGTTTCTGATTTGCACATTTTTATATGCATATATAGCTTTTAACATCATGACCACGTACTTCTTTTTCCCCCCAGATCCCCAAATCATTAGTGTCCAGAATACACAATGAACAACTAATTAATCAATATGCCTTTTCATCTCTTTTATTCAACATTAATGCCAAACACCATTGTTCTTTTGGGAATCAAGAACAATAGTTTCATACAAAGTTTGGAGAAAATATTTAATTATAAAGCCTCATGACTTTTTATTTTCTCTTCCCTCCTGTTCCTTGCTCTTTTCCTTCAGCTCTCACCTCGGACTCATTTCACCTCCTCTCAATTCCTCTGTTCCACTCCAATGGACTTCTCAGCTGCTGTGCTACCCAACGCATGAGAGCACAAGTCTTCACGCACCGAAACAAAACCATGGCTAAGAGAGACTCCCTCTTACAGGCAGCTCCCTCAGCCAGCTTGGCTTTCACCTGCTGAAGCAGTGCACACAGAGGGAAAGCAGTGGAAACACAGCTGCAGACATGGATGTGAGATCTGGTCAACACGGGGTGAGACTGGCCTAAGCGGCCACTGAACCATGCAGTGAGTGACAAAGGAACTTGCCCTTCCATGGCATGGGGCCGTGCCATTAACCCATGCATAAATGGCACAGAAACACACCCTTGTGCTGGGGATAGTAGGCTCCATCCACACCAAACCTTGCTAAAACCTCTCTGTCCTCCTGTCTGAACACTGACAGGGCTAGCACAACAGAATGGAGGTAACACAAAACAACTTACTACAACTTGTAAACAAGTTTCCATAGGTTGGTTGGTTGGTAGTTTTCCCTTGAATAAGGCTTAAATGTGTTACAAATTTCATGTGCATTCATTAACCTTGTGCATTCACTAGCCTGCACAGTTGCCCTCAGTGCGCCTTTCCCTGGCTACGCTCAAGGTCAGAGATCAGCACGTGGCAACTCTGGCTGAGCACAGAGAAGCGTAGGTTGAATCTTCAAGATCCTTTCTAGCAATACGCATTTTTACCTGTTATCCAGTGCTTAAGAACTACATATAATCTTTTTCAGATTATCTTAGTAATGAATGTGTTCTTGTTTTGTATGATGCAGCTCTCTTAAACCTCTATTACATTAAATCTGCATGAGCATACACAGAGAAGACTGCTAAAAAATTTCTGCTCCAACTCCTACCAGCAAAAAAGCATAGGGTCCATCATACACTGAGCATAAACAGCACATAAATGGACATATATAGACTTCAGGAACACAGAAGAGAAGTCATAAATTATATGTCAATATACAGATATATGTGAACATATACAAATATGTGAATAGTTGCTCAACCCACACATCTCTGCTAGATTCTGGAGAAGCGCTGAGAATAATGTCCAGGTACAGAGATGATGAATGGGTGCTGCACTTATCTGTCAGTCAGCAGAGCTGTGGGAGGCAGAAATTAAAGGTGTCAATTTGCAGTAGGAAGAACAAAGGGAAAGGGAAACTCCAGCTGGAGACAGCATGGCACTGCTCTACTGACACAAGCAGAAAAAGGAACAAGTTGTAAATTACAGGAAAAAAGAGTTTTGTAAAAGGAAGCCACGTTATATAGGCATTAGTGGTCTTTCCACACCACACAGAGTCTAAAGTATGAATACACTTTAACTTCAAGTATAGCTATCCATGCAACACGCTAGAAAAAAATCCTGTACATACCTTTACAGAAACATACCCATGATTAGACAAAGAGCTGTACAGATACACGTGTCACTAAGCAGGATACTCTGCTGATTCTCATACTAACATGTGAATACATATATATCATACTTCCAAATATTTAAGGATTATTTTTTTCTCTGTTAGCTTCTTTAAAACTCATAAAAAGTACTTACTGTGATGAAATTCACTCTTAAAACTGCAGAGACTGCTGAGTGCCTAAGTGAGCCATTATTTGCTGGCTCATAAACATCTTTTCTGTGCCTCTTAAAATCACTGATGCATTAATTGCTTATCAAAATTTGAAACAGTTCATGAGTCACTCTGCAGATAAAATAAATAAATATTAATGAGCCAATTTCAACAGAATTCATGTCCTCTGTCTCTTAAAGCTGGAAGAGGACAGCATTCTTATTACACGTAAGAATTAGGTCTTGATGCCTATTGTATGGGCAAATATAAAAAATACTCAAGCCATACTCAGGAAATCAGAACTTACTGACTAGATCACCATGTTTCACAGGATCAATGCATCACAGTCTTATTTGGCCAAATTATAGATCAAAGAGAGAAAGAACTGGTCAATTATAAAGTAGAGATTAAGTGAAAGATTTATCAAAATACATAGGTCTGATACAGATTGAGAGAAAACAAATATTTAGTCTTTAAGGTTTGGAAGCGGTTTTATATGAAAAGATCTTAATACAACAGAAGTGTATTTGTTTGAAGATCAAGTGCTTGACCTTCAACCAAACATACGGGCACAAAACAGCGTTACTAAGAAATTTAGTATTTCTTACATTCTATGAGGGAGGGGGAGAAGGAAGGCATGGACTCTTCTGGAATACCAAAATAAAGAATTTAACTTTGGACCAATCTGAAATTTTCACTAAGCCAAAACACTGGGTGCAGGGCTTTTCACTCCTTTCATTTTTTTACTAAAATTTACTGAAACATACCACTTTGGAGAGTTCATCTGGAAAACATGAGTGTGCTGAGAGAATTCTAAGTCTGGGCCAATGACGGTTCACTGTTGAAAATCCAAGTCTAAAACTTTTCAAACTAAATGACCCAGGATGAAACAGGAAACAAAATTCCTCACTTGAGTCTTTACTTTCTTATTCTAGCTTGTTCCTGAAAACTGAAGGCAGAAAAAGAGCCACCAAAACTCTGAGGAGGAATAGGGAATATCCCTAAAAGGCAACCGTAGCTCTGAAAAATACTAGGAATTACACAGACATCAGTGAGCCACTTTTCAGCCAAACTGTCAGTGAAAAACGTTTTTTAAAAAAATCACAGTTTTTCTCAAGGACGTTCAGCAGCATGAGTTTCTGGCTAATGTAGATGGCTGGTATAAAGCAGATAAAATGGGAACTTCATAGAAATGGGCAATTTCCTTGTTACTCACTGGCTACAAGCAGGATGAAGAACCCATTTTAATAGACGGCGGGTCTTAGTATGAAATGAAGAATCCTCTTTTTATTCAATTAGGTCAAGTTGTTTATTGTCAGAGGTCGTATCAGCCGCTTAGCAGAAGATGCCGCTTCAACTTCAGGTAGTCACATAAAGAGGCAGGCTATGGTAGTCCTAGAAATACTACTGTGCCTCAGGTGATGCCACACCACAGTGACACCCTGTTGAGACTTCTGTGTACCGTAAAACTAAAGGCACCTCCACAGATCGAGATATTCAATACAGCATCAAACACAGAATATGTTACTGCCAGTGAAGTCTTCACATAAGAATACAGAGAAAAATAAAATTACAAAACACATTGTGGATTAAATATAATGTAGGAAGAAATCAAATTATGCTGCTGCTCACAAATTTGCACCTGTACTAGCTCTCTTTCTAATGTGTAGCTAAATAGCATGTATTTTCCCTAACAGTATCTTAAAATTCTTCACTTTGTGCATTCACAGCTAACAGCTCTCATATAACTTGCTTTTTCTCTTAAGTATGTATCAGGGAGGACCTGGTTCATGTTACAAATGAACTGTGCTACTTTATCTGGAAACTACAGAACTATGCAAATAATACACAGAATCATAGAAGGGTTTGGGTTGGAAGTGACCTTAAAGATCATCTAGTTCTAACCCCAAGTCTTAGGTCCTTTAAGACAGGCCATTGGTATCTAAAAGAACTGTTGTTTATATTTATCATTATGTGCATATAATAATGAAGCAATTAAACAACTTTCTTATGTTCATGAAAAATGTTTTGTGTTCCTAAAAATTATTCTCAGTATGTCGTGTAACAAGTTTCTAATCTGAAAACAAATATTATTGATAAGATTGAACACTCCAATTTACACAAATGCCAGGGTAATAATTCTTCTTTTTATAGAATATTTGTGGAATTAGTTTTCACAATGTAATTTACTTGCCTTTTGTTAATATTTCAAGATTCCAAACTTGATGACACATACCCTTGTTCACTCTCCTTCAGCAAAATTTAACAGATGCGGTTGTAAAGATAAACCTAAAGCTACTCAGTGAATCTACTGATAATGTTAATTGCTAAATAAAAAGGGTGAAGGAATGGAAGTTTCCGTTGGATTGTGCAACAGAAATTTTCACTCTGAAAAATGCTGGAGAAAGCTGTGCTTTCATGGGAAATGGGAGAAGATAAATTCCACATAACAATTCTTTTCATTCTGAAAAGTCTCTTCTGCCAAAATATCGAGACTCCACTTGGTGTGAAACTTGTGAATAGAATATGGGGAATTAGCAGGTCATGTGCATGAATAAATAAAAACTCGCAGTGCTGGAAAAATACCTTGTTGAATAAACATGAATTCGGATACAAACGTGTTCATCACCATAAAAATGGCCAACCAAGTAATAGTTACTTTTCTTAGTGTCATGTTTGCACTAGTTAGAGTGTAAAAACATCTTACCTGCTCAGATAAGACTGGCCCATTGACACCAGCCTGTACGAGGGCGTCATGAACAAGCGAATGGAAGTTTAGAAGCACGTGCTCGATGTCGTACGTCCCACCCATGGCACTTGACAGCTCCTCCAGAGACTGAATATATCCCCGCCAATGAAGGTCGACTTCTGCCACGTTAGCTAAGCAGCCTCGGATGACGTTGAGGCAGTAGCCCATACAGGGCTTACTTAAAGTCAGGCCTTGGCAATGCGGGCAGTACTGCATTCTCAACAGAGCTCTGCTGCAGTCCTTAGAGAAATGCAGGTGGTCTGTGGTATTGATCACTTCAATCCCCAAATTCAGAGCCTGCAAGAAAGTCCGGCTGGGTAACAGTGATCTTCTTATATGTCCTATGACCTTTCTGGGAACATTACCAAAGGGCCTGATGTCTCTTCTCGCCATTCGGAGGCACTCCGCATATTCCAGTGAAATGTCAGTCAGACCAGGGTTAATCACATGGTTGTAGACTACTGGGAACAAGGTATCAAAAAATCTGTTGACAAATTTCTCAATACTGATGTCTGTGCCAAATATGAAGAGTCCAACATCGGTGAAGAACTCCCGCACATGCGTAGTAGCCTCAGCAGCCATGTTTCTATAGGCGTTGCAGAACAGTGTGCTTGTGTAATTCTCAGCCAGTCTGATGAGCATTTCAAAGGTTTCTGTAATAAAAAAAGCTCCTTAAGTTCTAAAAAATAAGAAATTGAAATAATTCTATCAGAACATCTTACCGTTATCCTGAATGCATTTTTGTATTAGAATATATGAAGAGACAGATTTTTCACAAACTGTGACTACTGTCTTTTGTATATAGGCAAACAAATTACAAATAATGTTGCAACACAATTAATAATCCATATGTTTTCTTGGCAGGATATATTAAACACAGTCAGAAAAAAAAGCAATCAATTGTAAACTGAGTTATTAAGCTACAAAATCGAACAAAGCCCTACTGTATCTGTCTACATATATGCATATATTAACTCTCTCATCTCACGACCAATTCTGCAAGTTGTAGTTATTCTACAAGAAGCAGTATTCTGCAAGAAAGAATTGAATGGTCTCAGTCACTCCACTTCACTCCTCTTACCATCCTAAATGGGGGTGGGGTGTAAAGTAACATTAAAGAACTCTATAGAAACAGTTTTGTTTTCTTGCCTTCCAAAGGAAGGGGATGCACAAAACACACATGAGAACGTGTTTTTAAACAATGCTGTTTGATCTGGCAATTCCTATGGTCAATTTACTTGTGCAAAGCCTTCGACACTG